GGCTGCTCAGGGAATAGGCGATTCCCACCCGTTACGGCGACCCGTGTCGACGACAGAGGAAGAAGGGACACCTGAATCGGCTACTACATGAAAGCACCATAGAATGGCAATGATTGATCATCCCCGTGACCTTGGGCAACGATGGACTGGGAAATGTCGGAATGTTGAGCAAAGTCGGCTATCGTAGGGCAAGGCGAGTGCTACCCGGAAATAGTTAAAATACTTGATTATGATTGATGATCTAATGTATGGTGATTAACCTATGCTTGATGAACTCATGCATAAGACAGGGAGGAATCTGAGGACACTACGCATTGAGCATGCCTTATGATTTGAAAGGACGGCAATCGACACAGAGAACTTGTTAGCAAAGTTTGCATCGCAACATTTACTCGCAGATCTCAAGAGAATTCAAAACAAGGCTGGGAGACGGATGTTACCATCCTCATCAGCAATGGCTCTGACTTTCAACATGGGAGCGTTTACCGGTCTGACGTTTGGGCGTCTCGTGACATGGATCCTCTGGATCCTCAACGTCGGAGATGAATGACTTTGAAGCCCGCAATACATGCACTCATTGATTATTATGCGTATTTGGCATGGATATTGGCCATCACGCTTACTGATGCCGACGACGGGAGAATGGATGACAGGCTGGTGACCGGTGATAAGTTTCCGAGGACTAAATCCGCAGAAGGAAAACCAATCGATTGAGAAGAATGTAATGGGATGCAGCACTTATGTCAAGCACGTCAGAGCCCCTTGTTCCTTGACATGAGTGACATAATAATTTTTGTGGTTGCGCGCCTGCCTATCTACCTGTCTGTCTGTCGGTCTCTTCATATTCCTCCTGAACCTCCCGGCGAAAAGCAAAAGTGCATCGTGTGCGGCATACATTTGAAAAATAGAAATATGAAAACAGAAAGCTACATGAGGGTAAGGTTGCATATATGGAGTGAAATGGTGTCTGTCTTTCCCCCCCACTATTCTTCATAGAAGGGGTTTTCCCCCCAATATACAAGTATCTGTTGTAGAGCCGCCACTGGAGATCGGCCTGCCATGGGATACACCACGACGGCAATCGTATTAGTACCTTTATCTTGGCTTTTATCCTCTCTGTGATTCAGCCACTGCTTTACTGTGAGCCCTCCCCTCAGTTTCCTTGACCTTCCTACTCCTTAATCCTTCCACCGTCCTAGAGTACAACCTCCCCCCCCGCCGCCCGCAATCCGTGGAAGCCAATTAATGCGACGTTTTCTCCCGAACCACCGGTCGATCCCCTCCCCCTCCTCCACCCATTGGCTTCCAAACCCCCCCGCCGTACATGCTTTCCCGCTCCAAACTCGAGCCCAACCCGTTGTCCTCCACCTCCACCAACGTGCCCGTCTGCTTCTGGAAGGCCAGGGGGACCACGCCCAGGTCCCCGTCGTACCGATTCTTCCGCACATCCAGGTAATGACGGCCCTGGTGGCGTTGGAGGATGACCACGTTGTCCGCGTCCTGCGTCGCCTTGGCCGTTCCCGAGAAGGAGGAAATTCCGAGACGGAACTGATCGCTTTCCTTGCGGGGGTGCACCACCAATAT